CTCGGGGACGTGGGACTCGGGGACGTGGGACTCGGGGACGTGGGACTCGGGGACGTGATAATCAAACAACACCTAACATTTGCGCTGAATTTGTAGAGTATAATTTTCGGTGGTCTCGAGAAAGCTATTTTATGCTGGAGAGCTTGTTAGTAGTAGCCGATGGTTTTCAGCGTCCATGGTTCGGCCGGACATTTTTGCTTGCTTATTTGACTGTGAGAACTCTGGGTACAGAATAGTTTCAACGCAGGGGGTCTTGAAACATCCGTGCCTTGTCCTTGCTAAAAAATAATAAGTAAGAAAACACAGTTACTTACCAGGAAAGTCCTCCATGGCTGCCCACGATGTTTAAAACCCCCTGCGTTGAAACTTTTCTAACCAGAGTTCTCACGGTCAAACAGGCAAGAAAACGTATCCGGCCTAAATCATGGACGCTGGAAATCATCGGCTACTACTGACAAGCTCGGGTGACGCTATATCGGAGGCGTTCGTCGAAGGTCGAACACACAAGTTTATAGTACAGCGATTAAATTCAAAATAGGTTACGTAAGCTTCAGCACTTGTTCCCACGAAAAGTTCAAACCTGAGATGTACAAGATCGTCCTGAACAAAGGAGCCTTGAGGTCCTGCGGCAGTTTCTTGATTTTGTTTTGAGTATTTTGTGGTTGTCATAAAATAACTACTGTGATATATTTCTTTTGAACAATTGTCACGGGATTTTTACCCGTGAGCTAAACGCTAATACAAATATTTTTATAACGGACACATAAAATAGCATGACACCGTTACTATTAGAAGAAGAAATATTACTTAATGCGTGATCGTGTAGTTTATAGCGATTCCCGAAATCCTAGATTCAAGAAAACGACCCATCAAAATACACTTCTCTGTTTTTGTTTAGTCACATGTGGCTCACAGATAAAGATATACAAAAACAGATAAAAAAAATTTTTCAGTATTTACTAGGTTTCATGCGCTAATTTACTAGGTTAATCACATTTGAATTTTGAGGAGGCGAGCGTGGCCTAGTGGTTAGGGCGCTGCATAAGGCCTAACAGTATGGACGTTTGTAAATATAACTGGTCTGCCTCCTACCAGTTGGGGTTTTTATTACGATATTTGTTTCCTTATTTACAGTGTCCCCAATTAGCACAGCAGTGCTAAAAAATACACAGACACTTAAATAAAGTTATTATTATTATTATTATTATTTAGACGGTAATGTCGTCTCTTAAAAAGAAAATTATGAGAAAGATTCTCCTTGCAGCGTTGAGTTCGTTGAGAGAAGTTCAATGTTTTTTACTTACGTAATACGAAAAATTTGTCAACACTGAAACGTCAAATGATTCGTAAAATAACGAACAGGAATTTCAGGAATTGTACACACCCTACGTTTATGGGGAATTCTGAAGTAAATGGATGTAAATGACCTTCCCGATTTTGTTTCCTCAGTATGCGAAAAGTTCGATGGATTCCTCCACTAAAATACCTAAAAAAATTAAAACAGTTTCGCGGGTTATGCAAAAATCGAATGCTACTGGTAGTTTTATTATATTTCAAACTCTGTTTTCAAAAGATCGAGTCTCTACGAGGCTCACACCGAATTGATAAAAGCAAAAATTCAGTTAAAAATAAAAGAAACTGCCCACCATTTTTCGAAAACCTCTTGTGATTTAAGTCCTTTGAGTGCAAGGCCTTCTTTACAAAGCATGTGGAACTACTAAGAAGAAAACTCTCGAGCATATCCTCGAACTGATCTCTTTTTCCATCGAAATAACCCACGAAGTACCGGTTTTCAACCGAACAAATTTCAAGGTTTTCCTCAAGGAAGTCAATCTCCGATTTGTTTAAAGAAGATTGATTGGTCGCCGCCATCATTACACATTCTAGTGTCTTATTAAAAAATTGCCTTCAGTTTTTAGATGTCATCCTTTCACAGGCTTTCCCAATATTCGCAGGTTTCATGATTTCCCCGCCGACCAAAATTACCGTATACGCTTACCTTCGACGAACGCCTTCGATGTAGAGTCACCCGACAAGCTCTCCAGCATATTACACCTTTCTCGAGACCACCGAAAATTATACTTTACAAATTCAGGTGTTGTTTGTTTATCACGTCCCCGAGTCCCCGTGCGTCCCCGAGTCCCCGTGCGTCCCCGAGTCCCCGCGTCCCACGTCCCCGAGTCCCACGTCCCGCGTGCCGCGTCCCACGTCCCCGAGTCCTACGTCCCCGAGTCCCAGTACCACGTCCGTCTCACTTTTAGTCACAACCATTTTCTTGTCACAGGCGGCCAAGCTCACGCCTCGAGAAAAAGCCAACTATTAATTCATTATCGCATCACGCGTTGTGTGACTCAGTGTTAAGTTAAGAGAGGAACCGTTGAAAATTTGAACACGTTATAAGGAATAGTATAGGGAACGAAATATGGTCGATTTACAGCGATAAATATTTTGAAATATGAACATTTTTCTCGTAAAATCAATAAAACTTACTCATACCCTGTGAATCTGTTGTAGTTTCTGGCGATTTCTGCCGTTTTAAGCTGTTATTCGCGTCATCTACTTTAATTACGTTGGTAAAATCTGTACAGACATCACACCAACCAACTCGCACACAAAGTAAGAAGACTATATTGAAGGCTTGAAATAATATTGCGATCGATTTTCATCTAGAAATGGGCCAGGAATATTCCACAATAGTGTAAATAATCGTGAAGGCTGATCGCGGAAGAGCGATTGCGTGACGCTTGGTAAGCTGTAAGATGACATGTTATTATATACCAGACGCAAAAACTCTTCAGATTCTTAGTCTGCATTTTGTACCCACTCTGCAGTCTGCAATCTATATTTTGTATCAGGTCTGCAGTCTGTATTTTGTATCAGGTCTGCAGTCTGCTGTCTGCTGTCTGCATTTTGTACTAACAGGTATCCGTGGCACCAATACAGTTTATTTTTGGTTACATTTAATCGCACAACATACGTAATCAATCGCAAAATACCTGTGTGTGAGGTAATTCGACATTTTCGTTCTTTTCCGTGTTAATACTCTTCTTTCCTTTTGTAAAAATGTAGACCACTTACAATGTTCCAAGTAATCCACCCACCTTGCAAGAAATAACTCTTGCATGCATAGCATGCCTTTGTTTTGAAACAGGTGTGTGCCTCTGGCCAGACTTGAGCTCACTATTTCAATATACTAGTCCGACACCTGTAGTATCACTACACTTGATTCCAAGGATCAAATACCATCCAGGTATCTCAGTTACCCTGCTCACAAGGTCTAGTTGGTTCTGAGATGAGTTGATGGAGTATATAAACATCAGCAATACTCATCAGCCTGAGTGTATTGTTGTTATATCGGGTAGAAGTCCGTTACAGCTAAGATCTCCCATTACCAAATACTCAACATTTTCACTGTCGAGGTTCGAAATGCGAAAAGATACCAATATTAGCGTCTGGTAGCCTATACCACGTGACAACTACAACCGGTTTGGATTTAGACCTTCGAATATCCAAGCAGAGCTTTTCTAGGACATCCATTTGTAGGTCTTTCTTAACGAAAAAATTTTGTAAATGCGTGACTTTCAAACTTGCGTGACATTTGCGTTACAGTTGGCCTTTGTGCCATTTGATTCCTTTAAATAGTTTTTCTCTCCCGCTTTCATTAATCGCCTGTTCATCCAAAGTTAATTTATAAAGTGTGATTTCAAGCCACCGGCGTATAGGGACTGATATGTAAGTCGTTTTCGCTTGTTTTGTTGTTTATCTCATTTCGAGCAAGCTCTTTCGTCCTTATTTGTATGTATATTTTGTGTTTACCGTAGCATTTGGTTCATTTATTAGTTCCTTTATTATGTTAGATTCATTTACGCTGTTAAGTCGCCACGTGTTTAATTGAATACAATCTATTATATAAGTCCCTTTTTTAATTCGTTTACAGTTTACGAGATTGATTAAAGTTATGTCCCTGTAATATATCCCCTGGATTTGGTTGGCATTTTTCTCCGGTCACGATTTTCTTGGTATTTCATCGAGCCTTGATGTTCGTTTGCCGCAACAAATTTATAGAGTTTTTTTTTATTTATTTATTTTTTTAAAAATAAAAACATACCCCTCCCCCGCCATTCGCGATTGTGTCACCAGGAATTATATCCTAAGCTCGTCTATGTGAGTAGTCGAGTTAATGAAATTAAGAGAGGCTAGTTTCAGACCGCGTTGACGAGGTAAACTTTTGGTGAAGTGTACACCCCTATAATTTGGTACTCATAAACTTCTAATGCTGTATTTATCACCCTCACTAGGCACGGCAATCGAGGATAGAACATCATTTCAATCTAAATGCGTTTGAAAATTTTTAAAATACTGTTCGTTAATTACCTCTAAAATGAAGGTGAAGTCCACCGTTGTCGAGTCCATTGAGTCCACTCGTTCTGGTGGGAATATATATAACGGCGTAATATGCGACTAACACAGTCTATATACTATAAGATTTTACGCCACTAACCCAGTCGGTAGATTAATTATAATAAATTAATATATAATTAAATTATATTACTTACATATATATATATCACCGACTGGAAGAAATTACGCTGGTGACAGAACTTTATCAAGTGTTTTTCGCTGTGTTGAATGCTTGATTGAGTTTGCCCCTTCTGCATACAAGTTCCGATATGGCGACTGTGGTATCGCAGTTGCTTTCGATCTGTCGAATCAGATATTTTATCATTATGATGAAAAACTCGGTCGGCAATCAAGCTTTCTTTTGAGAAGCGTTAACTTTTAGAAAATCATTCCCCTCCCCCTCCCACCCCCACCGCGAAAAATGGATCGCGTGACTTGAAAATTGTTTGCTAGTCACATGAACATCGCTTCTCCCCAGTTTCCTCTAAAAAGATCCCGGTGAGTAGCGATGCTTTGCTAAGCACATTCCAGAACACGTTCGTGGAAAAGCACTAATTGTCGTGCTTGTTCAGACTTTTAAGAGTAATAAGACTTTCTTGGAATTTTAAAGATAAACCAATGCATCGAAAATGATATAAGTGTAATGTTGACTCGTGTTTGGTGGGAAATTTGGATTAGTTACAGCAACATCGACGATCTTCACTTCCGCGTTGATCGACCGGAGAACGCGAATATCAAGGTGAGCTAGTCTTTACCTGTTAATCTTTAATTAATGTTGATTAAAAATTAATATCTCATTTCTTTAACTCATATAAGTCTTATCGGCCATTGTAAGCTCCTCGTTTTTTAACGCGATAGCAAGATTTTCTCCGTGATATCTTGAAATAAATCACGTTCACAAGGTAAGTACTGTTTATAACTAATTTTAAGACAGTTTCAATCTGTTTTTTATCTTGTTGATTAAACACTCCTAATTTTTCCCCTCTTTACAGGGTAACAACGTTGTCCTCCAACTCTCTGATCAGTTTGTTATTGTACTTGCCAATTGAAGGTTGAAGTGATTTTCTGATAGCAACAACTGGATTAAAGAAAATTAGTCAAAGCAGGTAAGATGAACAGCCTCTAGAATGAGCTGTTTACTGCCACTCCAGCTGATCAATCAAACTTGTTTTTTATGACTTCTAAATGGTCAAAACATTCTCAATTAAGTTACCATTATTGGATTAAACTCACAATGCATGGATCAAAAATACAAAATGATTTACTTCACTTACTGCCCTTGTTATAAACTCTTCTGCTTGATCAGGACAAATTGACAAAAAACTAGCACCAACCTAAGCTAATATACAAAACTCGTGTAAATTAAAAGGACTGAGAATGAGGTGAAATAATCAACTTGTGATAGTGAGGTTTCATTGTTCAGTAATTAGCATATATTAATGCAAACCTTTTATTTCAGATAAAATTAATTTCCAATATTACATCAGTTACGAAAGGGGAAACTAAAACATACTACAAACAGCTTCATGCGGATCAGCCATCGAGTCTTAGAAGGGAAATTAACTCAATATACTTTTTTTGTCAGGCAGTGATATTTATAAAATAAATATTAGTGGTATTGTTATTGATAATGAATCACTTCAGGCTATGTAACAGCTGGGGGCAACAGGGCCACTCCAAGGGTGACATAATTACACTTGGGGGCAATGTAACTCCCAGCTTGAGGTAATGTGTTTAGGACAATGTGGAAAGATGGTGACATGAATTTCATTCCTGTTTTGCCGTAGAAGCAGAAGAAATTAGTAAGACTTCGACCAGGGTCTTCATCTAAGTGGAACAACAAATACAGAAGTCTAAGTGTAAATTAAGAGGACAGAAGGTAATGCATTAAAACTATAATTCCACATGTAACTCCCTTGTCTCCTTTTGAATTAAGAGGAAATCTGCAGCAACAAAAGGCAGTGCATGAAGTTAAAGATATGGTAGACCTTCAAGGGCCTTTTTTTTTTTTCCTGTCAAACTAAGCATAATGACTTTAACAATAGTTTCCAAGAAAAAATTGGTAAAATATTGAAACGTGCACAAGTTATTTACACAAAATTATTTTTGAATGGGCCAAGTTGAAGAACCATTTGTAACATGTCATTACATAAATGACTACAGGAAGGTTTCTTGTGGCAAAACATCCTGGTCCTTGAATTTTAATTGCATAAACATCTCTTAATTTTGGTTGCACATGGAGATCTTTAAAACTAGAATGTGAATGGAGAAAGATAAAAAGGAGAAGAGTCCACGGGTGAAAGTAAAAAAAAGGTTAAGAAATTTGAGATGGATTGGTGAAAGAATCTCACTGAATTGGATAAAGGTTTATGGTTTTAGGCAATTTTCACTGCTGAGTCTCCCAAGACTCTGCAGGATGCTTCTGTTTAATTGTATTGGCATAGGTATTTCAAGCTTTTCAGAGTGTTGACATATCTTGACAGGTAATCACCCAAAGATGTAAATTGTTGGGAAAAATTTGGAAGTAAAAAAAACCTCCTTTGTTTTTACGCAAAGGTGTCTTCTTTGAACAAATTAGTAAGGTATATAAACTTTACCAATTGCCTTAAAATTTGGTTCAAAGACTCCCAAGATACCAACCCAAAAAAAAACTGGAGAAATGTATCTCCACAATGACCTGCAACGTTAAGAGTATTGGTAAAATTTTGAACAGCAAACTTGACAGACAAGTTGCAAAACATCCAATAAGAATATCGAAAAATCCCCACATGGTTTTGAATACCAACCCATCAGGATGGAAGTTGTCCAGAGGTTTTATATGCAATTAATTCACTTAAAGAAACGTTGACCCTTTCTAATTGTCCTGCCTCATTTGGTTTATGATTAGATCAAGCATATACAAAATAATTTTTGCCAAATAGTGCATTTCATAACCTTTCCATTGATATATAGTTTATGGTGGCTATGCTTTAGATACTTACTTCATAGTTGTTCAAAATGAACACTGAAATGTCATTACAATAAGCTTTAAATTTTTTCACTGCAAAATAAAGTTGAGAATTGAAGTTTGAAATACCAGAGTGTATAAGATTGTCAATATACATCAGTCATAGCTTTATTATTCTAAAGAGCTGCCTCTGCAGCTCTTTAGAAGAATTTATAATAACTGGGGGCAAAGCACTTTATATTAGTACTTTATTTTTAAAGCTCAGCACTCCAATACTCAATACTCTAAAAATGAATATTTTTCTCTGGACAGATTTAAAGCAGGCTCAGACAAGGATCATTACTCAGATTGATCTCAACATACTGAAACTGAACTGAAAGCAAAACTAATATGTCTAAATGAGATCAGTCTAATTTCTTGTCAGTAATTTTGATATTAAATTGTTGACAGTCGTAAATTAATACAAACACAAAGCATGTACATTTGCTTTTTATATTTGGTTTAAGTTTTTTAACTACTAAGACTTGCCGTATCAAATTTCATGATTATATAAATTTGGGAATATCACCTGGGGGTACAACTTGCACCAATTACCTGGAAATGACAATGATTGATATTTAAAAAAACTATTCAAGCACAGATTACATATAATTATGTTAAGAACCTTGACATCTGAGGAAAAATTTATGAAGAAACACAAATTTGGCAAGGTGGTTTATGATGTAAAATCTTAAGGATTATCAAGCATGTTTTCTGTGCCAAATGATGTGTTAAAATTATTTTTATTTCCAACAGAAAACTGTTGAAAAAGGCAACAGCATCTAAGTTTTCTGAATACAGGAATAACTAAATTGTGGCAGCATGGGTGAGTTTTATAATGTCTTAAGAAGTGACCTAAAGTGGATAACATTGCAAGTTCCCAGTGTTGGTTATTTTATAATTGTGGGTCTGTTTTGTTTTGAGTGGGTTAATTGCTCCAATATGAACCCTTTACACCCTAACATCAGTCTCTGTATTCTCCATACTGTTCTCTATATATTTCCTAAGGTGAAGACCAAGAGAATTTGTTGAATAATCAAGAGCCTCTTTAGCTGGTGATCATTTCCTTCATTCTTGTGACCTTAATGTGTGATTTATGAGTGATATTATGAGGAGAAATTAGATGCTAATCACTCTTAGGGGCCATAGGGTTAAGTTTTATTAAAAAGAGTAACAACTGTTAACAATCTATACTTAATCATAAATGACTTTCAGTAATGTACCAATCATAATATCATTGACACTATGTTGTTTTCTCAGATATGATCAAATCTTTGAAATTCTTTATTAATACCTTAATGCCATTGACAATGCATGTTATTCTTTTATCAAATAAAATAAATATTTATAAATTGCTTCAATGATTTAGGGGAAGGAAACAGCATGGAGTGACTGTTTAAGTGACCAGAAACAACTGAGTTAATTTAATTGGCTGATCAAATAAACCTGACCTGAGCATGGTCTGACTAAATTTGTGGCTGTATCCAGGCCAGCCTAAGGTCACCAAAAGCTATACTTGTAAGACCTGACATGTAGGACCTAAGAGCACTTCTTTCAGCATCTCTTGCATTCATCTTTAAGTTTGCAAATCTAGTCTCAAATTTTATTATTGACAAGTACATTTAATTGACCAGCACTCAAGTCATTAAAAATTGTCTTTATTCATAAACCTATGTTTTAACTGGGATCAAAGTTAACATTCCACAAACTGTAACTTTGCTAATTCATAGACCATCACAGGAAATAGAATAAAATGTTTCTGTTGAGGGCCGTACCTGTCTACACAGCTATTTGATGAAGGCAAAAGATAAAGAAAAATTAGGGGTCTTATTGGATTTCATAGAAGCAGACAGATGGCAATAGCAAAGTCTGTGTCAGGTAGCAGAGTAAAACATCTGAATGAGAGGCAATTTGAAAAAAGGATACAAGTGGCTTATCTTGGTTTTATGCACATTTGGGTGTTATAAGCTTTTGGTGATAAATTTCATCTTAGGGTTTGTTACAACCCTCAATTCATTGTCACACAAAGTCTAAGGACCTTGAGGTTATTTATTAACTTTTGTGGAAATCCAATCTGACTGCAACCCAAGATAGGACCTGGTGGTCCAGAATTAACAAGCCCACCCTTTCTCTCCATGTTTTTTTTTTTAAGAATAATGAAAAATGGAATGAATGTCCAGCAGTAAGTAAAATTTAAGCCATAAATTATGAATTTTTCCTTCTTCTTGAGCTATAACCTACAGGAATCTTAATCTTATATTATGAATCTTACAGGAGTTACAAAACAATATACTTCTTACACTATTTTTAAAAGAGTTATATGGAATAATAATTTTAAAAATTATAACAATAATAACTCGATACAAACACAACTGTACAGTATTTGAAAGAGAGGCCCCTGAGGGTATCCCTATAAGAAGGGCTTCCTAAGTAACTAACTTTACTGTTCAAAATCCATGTACATTTTGGCATTTCAAAATCTATTTTCAAAACAGCGCTGAGGTAAAAAAAAAAATTAAACAAAGCAAAGTAGTACAAAGGGGGCAGTATTAATGTAATCAACTAATGTTCATCCAAATGAATCATTGTTCCTCAGAAGCACTTGAGTGGCTGGCATTTTTTGCTGGTTACACATTTTTTCTGAAGCACCCACTACACACTGCTTAGATTTGACAAAACAGTAATTACCTGTCTTGATCTGAATTAAGTTTTAGCCTTAGCCTTTACATATGTAGTGTTATTTTGTGGCTGGCAACTAAAATGTCTCTGGAGACCAATAATTTGTTTTGAGAATACAATACTGGTACCTAAACGGTTGGGAAAAAAATTTGATTGGGGCAGCCATAACTTTGAATTCTACCTTGAAACCTGATTTTCTATGGTTTCATCAACACCTTACTGATAACTGTTTATAAACCACACATTGCGGTTTTGCATGTGTTGCTAGCGGGACACCACTTTTCAAAGTTCTGGTGATATCTGCATTTTAAAATTTTTACACATCTGAGGAAGAAATACTGCTGTAATGGTTAGAATACTTAATTACTCTTACTGTGGTCTATAATTAAATATCAATGAACACTTTGTATTGGTAGAGATTGAAATATGGAGCATACTTCATGATAATGATGATGATGATTAAGTCTTTATTGAAAAAATCAGACTCAACAGAAGTGAGTCTTTACAGGCAAAATCATAAAAATAGAAACAATTTAATATCTATAACATGATATAAAAAGAGATAAAAGGGAATAATCAAACATAACAAAATATGATCACACAAGTTTAAAAAGACATCTGTTCATTGATAAGTTTTTTAATGCTCCATTTCTTATCTGGGGAAGTTGGAATTCATACCCCATTTTCCTTGGTATTCTTGTCTGTTTTGGCAACAAACAGATCTTGAGGTGAATGGTTTTATTGTGGTGATGATTTTGTAAATCCCCAGACTTCCAGGCTATACACAAAGAGGGATATAAGATGAGGGAGTCAAATAACTTGTTGAGTTGATCCTGAGAATTGCTGTAAAACTTGCAAACCCTCAATATATACAGTCGAGTGCTTGCTTTGGTTATTAGGTTGTCAACGTGGAGGTCCCAGCAGCAAAGGTGTTCTTGAAATGTAATACTGTTCGTTAGAGCAACTGACAAAGTGCTAATGCTCAAAACATCAGCTTTAAAACTCTTTACAGTGGCCAATTGACATTATCACCTCAGGTGGTAATACTTAATTACCCTTCTATACTCTCCCACTGAAGCAGCACCACAGTTTCCTAAGACACTTATCTCCTCTGTTCTTACTTTCAATGCTAAGTACCAGGTGTGGTTTAGGCTTGATAGTCATACAATATATCAGCATTTGCCATGGCCACACTTTGATCACCTTTCAGATATGTGACATGCTTACAAGCAAACATGTGTTTACAAATAATTTATGTTTATCTATTTTTGAATTAGTTTCTAATTTCATTTGTTCACTTCTAGGAAAACTTTGAACACAGATCCAGTTTGTTATGATGGCAGGACCTAGTGATGACAAGTGCAGCAGCTCTGTGGTTTGCAGTGATGACCCTCCACCTCTGAGTATTACACTGAAGAAGACAAGAGATCTGCCAAAGAAGATGAAACTTTGGGGCAAGGACTATCCTGCAGTTGATATTCTGCTCTTGACTGTGGAGGATTGCGAGTTCTTGGCTTGTTATCATTACCTGAGAGATTCCTTTAAAAGCTATGAGAAATCCATTGGATGTGTGTATTTTGGAAAGATGGGTGAAGAGGAAGGTGGGTCACTGAAAGTTGCCCTAGTGAGGTGTTCTAAAGAATCTTCAGATCCTGGAGGTTCTCAAACTGCAGCTAAAAGTGCTGTCACACTCCTGAGACCCAAGGCTACTTTTTTGGTTGGTTTCTGCCACAGTTTGAATCCTAACAAAGCCCAGCTAGGAGATGTGGTGATATCCTCAAAGCTTACAACAGATTTCCACAAAACCCCAGTGAGTAGGGATGTTGGTAACCTTGTTAGAAGTGCAGCTGATGGATGGGAGGCACCATTAGAAAATCCAGAAGCACGAGAAGTCAAAGTACATTGTGATGGAGAGATTTTGAGTTGCTCTGATCTGATTGGTGCTGAACAGCAATGTCAATCACACCCTGGGGCAATTGCAGTTGATATGGAAGGAAAAGGTGAGAATTACTCTCAGGGTTACTCTTGCTTGGCATCTGTGATCACTGTGCTGAAAACTGTTTTGCCATAAAAAGAACTACATGTATTTCTCATGTTCAGTGTGACTTCATGTTACCAGGATCACTCACACAGAGCTGACCAAACCCAATTACACAAAACGGTCAATTAACTCTATTTAAACTCTTTTTCATGTGTGTGCTTTGGGCCTAAGCACTGATTGGCACAAGTGAATTTAGATGGAATCATTGTTCATTTCTTTATAATATAACTTTTTTATCTCATCTCAGTTACCCAGTAACCAAAGTATTACCATAAAGATGATTATTCCCAGTCACTTACAAAGGCACACTGCAAGCAAGAAATAAATTATGAGTAGTCCCAGAGGTTTTCAAACATAATGTGTATTACACTCTACCCGCAAATTGATGTTCTCAATCTTTGCCACTGAGCCACAGGACTAGAGGGGAGCTTCTGGTCACCACTCTGTAAGGCCAGGTTTCTGGAGGAGGAGAGAAAGTTAGGAATTCTTTTTGTATGGGGAGTGATCACCACAAGTGTACAATGATAATGATTTTTGCAGTATACCCTCCACTTTGATGTTCTTAAGCTTTACCTCTGAACTACAGGAGGCTGGTTGCTAAACTATTAAACTAGGAGGAGGGTAGGAACTTAACTATTTTTGTAGGGGGAGTGGTCGGCACAGGTGTACAATGGTAATCTTTACTGATTACACTGTGCCCCACTTTGATGTTCTTAAGCTTTACCTCTGAACTACAGGAGGCTGGTTGCTAAACTATTAAACCAGGAGGAGGGTAAGAACTTAACTATTTTTGTAGGGGGAGTGGTCGGCACAGGTGTACAATGGTAATCTTTACTGATTATACTGTGCCCTCCAGCTTGTCATATCTTCAAGCCTCATCTCTTGAACTGTTCAAAGCTCCTAGTTGCTAGACTATTAAGCCAGGTTCTTGTTGGAGGCGAGGTACTCAATACTTTTTTTCGAGGAAACCCTTTCCTGAATTCCAAATCCTTACTCTCTGATATACCGCTTCTGACTAAAAAGGTACCCCGCCCAATTCATTATACTCTTAATGAAGAGTGGTGCTAATTTATATACCTGCAGAAAAACACATCTCTTAAAGACTTCCAGTAGCAAAGGAAAACAAATAGGGTTATCTGCAGAAAAACGAAGCCTCTTTTACTCAAATCAATCGTAACTATTTCCCTATAATATCATTGTTTAAATCCATTCCGATTTTTATTGCTTTTTTTTATTCATTTTTCTACCTAAGGCTTGTTTGCAGCAGCTCATGACATGAAGATGGAGTGGCTTGTTGTTAAAGGTGTTTGTGGTTTTGTACATGGCGTTGCATCTACAAACGATTCGTGGAAGACTTTTGCTTGTGTTATGGCAGCTTCTGTTGTATCCAACATACTGAGTAACTCTTTTGTGTTTGGAGACTGGCCTCATTACGGAGGTACGTGTACACATTTGTAACAGCTTTGGTTGTGTCTTCCAAGAGGTCTTCTAACTTGCTTTTTTTCCTCGGTATAGAATATCGTTATCTGCTGATGAGAACATGAAGGCCAACAGTGGAATTAAATTTACATCAGAAAACTGATAAACATAGGCATTCTTTGTTTTTCAATCGCACTGCTGTTAAGAAAAACTGAGAAATGTACAAATTCACTTAAGTAGTTCTAATTTCAATTTTGAGGTCATGGATAATGTACTGCGTTGCCTTTGTATTTCATTAGTCTTAAATTAAATCTTTTATCTTTCGTCTTTGATCATAGGTATTACAAATCGTTTATTAAACACGCTTATCAACTACTCTCCAGACTCTTGCGCAGTATATAAGATGACCCCAAATTTTCTTTATTTACCTTTCTGCGAAATACATCACTGTTACTGACCAGTTTAAAACATTGACGAGATCTAAATCGTAGCTTTTATTCCCTCCCAATGAATTTCAATTCTTCAAGTCAGATAAATTTCCTTTTCTCTTTAATTCCGTGTGCGGGCTCACACGAGATTTTCATCTTCAATCAGCACTTGTTTCGACTCCTGCTTGTTACCCATTTCACAAATTTAGTGAAGTGTATTTTAATTCTCATAATAGTATAAATTTCTTTTATTTTTGCAGACAATTCGACGGGAGAGGAGAGTTGTAAAAGTGATGATCCTTCAGAAAATAAACGAAGAAGGCTTGCAGGTATTATAATTATCAAGTGAAGAAATTTCATACCAAGCTTTCGTTTTAATAACTTATATTATACTTATAGCGGTAGAGTGTCCGATCGCAGAATCTGAAGGTGTTAGGTTCTATTCCTGGTGAGGACTCAAAATTTTTCCTTTGTCTCACGCTCGTGACAAGACAGTCATACTTCTTTCCTTTCCCTTTTCTTATACCAATTTGTCATTTTTGTTCAAGAAAAAGTACTGCGCAAAATTTTACGAAATAAAAATTCATGAAGTTTTTTGTTTTTACTTTGGCCGCTTCCTTTCCCAACGTTATTGATCCATGATAAAATAAATGCTGGAAATTTAATCTTCCCTCCAATTTCAAAAGAGCTACCGACAAAGGGAAAAATAAAGGAACAGAGTGTGGGTGGGTTTTTTTGCCGGGATTGGGGGGGGGGGGGGGGGAAAAGGGGGCGGTGGCAGGGGTTAATTATCTTAATCCTTTCATGCCGAGAAAGCTGTACTTGAGTTCGTGTGATGTTAGAAACTTGGCATCGTGTGCATAGTTATTCCTTCAATAAAAGTTCAATTCCTTTTTTTTTAATTTTTCTTAGAACTGTTGAATGTTGAGATGTGTCAAGAGCAGCTTAAGTCTTATTACAACACCTTTAGCAAGGTGAAAATCATTCCATGGGACGACAGCTCTTCCATTCAGATTGATGAGATCTACACACCTTTGTCTTGGGTCAGAGATCACAGGAAGCCCAGCGGAGTGACACAAGAGGAACTTGAAGACTACACCGACATGTTCAAGGAAAAACCAACACGAATGCTTGTTTATGGTCGGCCAGGAATTGGCAAGAGTACGTTTTGTAAGAAGGCTGCATATGATTGGTCGAAAGCCTTAAGAGAAATCCTAATGAACTTTTGCATTTTGCTTCTGATTAAGTTGAGAGATGTGTGTGACGTGGGAAACATCCGCGACGTTTTACGTGCGTCTAAATTGCTGGCCAGTGATGGTCCGATCTCAGTTGATAGTCTCTATGATTACATAACTAACAATCAAGATAAAGTGCTTCTTATTTTGGATGGCTACGATGAGTACAGCTTTGCAGAAGAACACTCACCCATCCTTGAAATTTGGAAGGGTGAGCAACTAAGAGATTGTCACGTTATTGTCACCACGCGTCAACTTAAATGTGACGAGTTAAGAGGCCCCAGCCACGTTCAGTTAGAAATTCAAGGTTTCAAAAGCTGGGAACGAAAAGAAACCTTTGCGAGAAAATTTATGGCAGGTGAAGAAGATCTTAACGAGTTTAGGCTCTACCTGGAAGAAAAAGATCTCGTTGACATGGCAGAAATACCTCTCCTCTTACTGATGCTGTGTAGTTTGTGGAAAGAGAAACGTCACGAAGGACTGCCAAAATCACGGGCCGACATATTCACACAATTCATTCAAACCATGCTGGATCACAAAGGTGGAAGTCACCAGTCTATGCCATTTCAGAAAATGACCTCAACAGAAGCCAGAGAAGACCTTAGTAATCTTGGAAAGGCTGCCTTTGAAGCACTTCTGCAAGACCGTCTTTACGTACGCTGCAGCAAACTCCCCGGCAATATTTCAAGAAGTTTGGAAAAATTAAGTGAAGTTGGGCTTTTCCAGATTGTCAATCTTACGAGTCTCAATCCTGAGAAAGGGGCCTATTTCATTCATAAATCCGTACAGGAGTTCCTTGCAGCCTGGCACATTAAGGAGGAAGTGTTGTCGAATAAAGGAGAAAGTACGCCTAGCCTTTCCAAAGTTGAATCATTTGAAAAGATCGATAAGATGAAAGAAGTTCTGAAATTTGCCTGTGAGCTGTCAACAGAAGCCGCGTGCGCAGTTTTCCATCATGTGGGGTCTGTTGGAAGTAAGGAATCTGTGTCGGAATGTGATTTCATTGAGCTGCTTCTGGAGGATGAAGAACTGTCTCGAAATGAAGAACTTTATCTTGAGCTTATCTCGCATAGCTACGTTTGTTGTTCGGCCGAGAAGAGGCTGGATCTCTACTCAGTGTTTCCCTCTTGCACCGGAGGTGTTTTTTTGTATCTTGATTCTAACCAGGTGAACATTACTGCAAATGAACATTTGCTGAAATCTGGCATGATACCCGACTTTATATTTTTCTATGACTACGAAAATTCAGAGAAAAGCTATCGAGACTTGATCACTATAGCGGAGGACACAAATGCAGTATTTTTGAGCTGTTCGGGCGAAAAGAAAGCTGCAGATTTACTGAAGAAGTTCCCGCGTCGTTATTTGGGCGAGTTCTTTTTGAAGAGAGAGAGAAAAATCGTCGTTTATGTTTATCAAATACACGTAGTAAAATATGGTAGCACTTTTCCGACTGAAATGCTGCGAGAGCTCATTTCGCCAACAGCAGAGTCTACTCAGGTGACGCGTCTTGTTGATCCGTTAAATGAACACGACAGCGAAACAGCTTCGAGTTTGACTCAGAACACTGATAGCATCACTGGTCCTACTCCTCAGAGCCTTTCCTGTGTGAAGCGGATCTCTATTTTACAAGCAGAAAGGCAAGAGATAAAGATGCTGGCTGATTTCTTACCACTTTTCACTGCTCTGCGATGTATAGTTATTTTTGGTAAACCCTCTGAAATCATTGATGCTCAGTTGACAGAGACCCTGGTGTCTCGTATTATCTTCACTGACAGACTTGGCACATTAATACTTTCTAATATCAATTTAACAGCCAAACCTGCCGCAGTCATCGCCAGATCTCTGCACCAGGCTCCTGGCCTGCAACACCTCAACTTGTCAAAGAACCCTCTTGGTGAAGGAGTAAGTGTTCTTATTCAACATCTCAGCCGTGTTCCTCACCTGGGGA